CACTTTTTGACAAAAAGCGGCAAAACCTCTTTCTCACATGGGAAAATACAATGACATTTGACACCACGTGGAATAACCTGATCTATCAACTTAGTCCGTAACTGTTAAAGTTTCATGTCAATGCTATCCATGACACTGCGTCAACACCTAGCAACCTAAAGCTTTGGAATAAAGCCGTTTCAGGAAACTGTAAACTCTGCAGCAAACAAGGGACACTCAATCATATCCTCACGTTCTGCAAGGTTGCACTGAGACAGGGACGTTTCAACTGGCGCAATGATCAGGTCCTACGTGAAATCATGAAGACTGTTTCATCACAGATTGAAGAGTTTAATTCCGACATCGCCAAGGAATCGAAGAGGGCACCGTCGGTCTTTCACAAGGCAGGCAATAAGCGCGAGAAGGTTACCTTAGCTGACCCAACTCATTATAAGACCAAAAGATATTTCTTTTCAGATGCCAACGACTGGAAGATAATATTTGATGAGGATGAGAGACAGAGGAACTTCCCGCAGCACATTGCAGCTACACCACTAAGACCTGATGTAGTGATCTATTCAGATAAAGCAAAGAAGGTTTATCTAATGGAGCTGACTTGTGGAAATGAACAGAACTTTGCTGATCAAGAGAAGCGAAAGATGAAGAGATATCAGCAGCTGACAGAAGAGATAGAAGCCAACGGATGGGCTTGCAAGCTCCAGACAGTAGAAGTGGGAGCTCGAGGCATTTACAACTATAGCCTCCCAACCTTTATGAACCACCTGAACGTAAACAACAAAGAGAAGAAGAAGGCCTGCATGAAGATCGCTGAGATCAGCCTGAGGGCATCGTATACCATCTATTTGTCCAGAAACAATACCATATGGACAGATGATTGGGAGTTAGTCAAGAGACCAGTAATAGCATAGTAGGAGCGTAGAATGTTTGGGCCCAGAAAAACATGTTTAATACCGCTATGAACCCGTCATAAGCCGGGGACTACTATGAAAATGATGATGCTGTGTTGTTGAAAGACCTTCGACCAATCAAAGATGTGCCTCATCACGCCAAGCAGTTATGCTTGTAGGTGAATACTGAATATACACTTATAGAGTACAACAACTTTATAACACTCCTTAGTCTCTTGAGTCTTGACACTATTTTAGGGTTATACGGGGGGGGGGGGGGGCAAGTGGATATTTGTAGATATTTGGATAATGTCATCCACTTTTTTCGTGAATCATCCATTACAATAATCTACAAATATCTACATTTATCTACAAAAAATGTATATCTCAAATATGTGCCCAGAAATTCTACTGAATTTTTGGAGATAAATGTATAAATTTGTAGAATTTGTAGAATTTTCGTGAATTATCCATTGACAATAATCTACAAATATCTACATTTATCTACAAAAAATGTAATCTCAAATATGTGCCCAGAAATTCTACTGAATTTTTGGAGATAAATGTATAAATTTGTAGAATGTCATCCACTTTTTTCGTGGATTATCCATTCTACATTAATCTACAAATATCTACAAATATCCACTTGGCCCCCCCCCCCCCCCCCTATACGGGTTCCTGCTTTGCTCTAGAGATAAATATTCAGGGAAGGCTAGATATAATGTTACTGCCCACTTATCAGTTATCCCAACTAAATGTCGCCATTAATATGGAATGTTTCCCTTGGCATCCCTAAGAGGGAACCCCAATGGAGAGCGTATCCTGCTAAGTAACGAAGCTCAGTTTGGATTAAACCTAAACTTAACGCCATTTAACACTACTTCCCAGCTGGCTGGAGAATAATGTTGAATGGCCACCCTCAGCTTACCTCACTCTCTTCAAGGGCCACTAACAGCTCATTCATGACTGTCATTAACGCATTGTCATAAGTCCTTCTCTGCTCACGCAGTAGATCTTTAAATGTAGCGCTCTGGGCTGAAAACATCCTCAGTACCTGCGGGGTAAGCTATGTGAGCACTCAGTTCTCACATAGGGGATTTGATCCGGGCCGGTACTATCTATCCCGTGTTAAAGTGGGAAATGATTCTCCGCCCAAACCTAGTAAACAACAGTTAATGATTAAGCCATAAGACCTTCTATGTCTTTCACCCTAAAATTAAGTTTTAAAGTTCTACACATTAGATCACCTCTCTATGATTATATCGTCTGGGACTCTGACTTATCCTCATGACATTCTGGGACTCAAAACTCAACTAACCTCCTCCCTAGTTATTTGGGACTCCATGAGTTCCAGTTCCAGGTCTTCTTCATTGTTTTCACCATCAGGTTCCATCTCCACCAGCTCCTCCACCTCCATCGTCTCCCCGGGCTGTCCTCCCTCCATTTTCACTGTCTGTAAACAAGCTTTAACTTTTATCATATCAACGGCAAATAGCAAATGTAGGCCATTTTTAATTTTCATATCGGAAGCTTTTCTGCATACAGCAGATAATCTCCAAAAGATGTATTCAATTCGCAAAAATATCCGAACTCAATCAATTCATTAGGTTGCTTCGCCAATAGAATCGAGAAGAGCTACCAATGCAGTATGGACAATTAATTTATGGCTTTCTAGATTTACTGCGATTGGCAAAAGACACCGCAGATCACCTAATATGGCTGTCTTTTATTCACTAAATTTTTTGCCGTCCCAGGGGAAATCTATCATTCGAGTTTTCTGGGACTGTTACGTAGAAATTCAGATATTTCTTATATCGACCCTCAGATCCCATATTTGCTGATTTCCACGGAATTGCGGTGGTAAACTGCTGGGTCGCGTAGAGACTAGAGCTTGATTTTGTGGTTCAGCCACAGTGGCGTAACGAAGCTGAAGAGCCCCGCCGACCCCGCTGTGCGGGGGGGGGGGGGGGGCAATGCAGGGGGCGCCAAATCGTCGTTTTAATGTGGGACAATTTTGAAAAACTTAACTTCGGTACTAGCAAAACTGCGCGTTTTGCTCTAGGGACACAGGCGTATCCTCTAAAATCATCTAATTTGTCCAATTTTAGGGAGGCGCCGACAGGGGGCGCTTTTTAAGCGGGGTTGGGCGCCAACAAGCAACGTTACGCCACTGTTCAGCCATGGACTTGAGTCTAGCATATTTAATGAATTGAATGATATCTTAATGATATCTTTGGTAGTGGTCTAAATGATTAAAAAATATCAATTCAATTAGGTCGCGTCCGAAGCTGGGTTATCATATTTATATTTCATTGCGTTCAATAAGCATCGGTGTATGGTTTGAGTATCACACTATCACTTCCAAAATGACGATTGTATCAATACGACCAGCAGGATAATTTTCTAGGTCTGTTTTTAAATTCTATTGCTATCTCAAACCTTCTTCCGTCTGAAGAATCGTCGCTTTTTCTTTTTTATCTTCCCATATCAGCGTTTAAGTCAGCTGCAAAGTCTTTCTGGTTTTCAGGAGCATACACCTGATTATTATTAATGTCATAAGTTATGACTCATAAGTTGATGTTGGGTTCAAATGGCATTAGGAGTACAAGTTATTGTTTCAGTATATTGCTATCTGCGTACGTTATCGCCATGATGTCTGTGAGAGATAGAAAATTAAATACGTTCTGATCTCGAAGTCACCCTTTTTTAGTGTTTCTTGCGACCAATTACCTATCTATAGTTATTTTAGTATCCCTAATTGAAAATGTGTCCTAAACTAAATTTTCGGCACTAAAGATTAGATACAGACAAATGTTAAATTTGTGATTAGAATTTTCGTTCATACTCAAACTGTACCCACTTTTTCTTCCAAAAGAGCAAGTCGTTCGTGGTGATTCCTCACTACCTCACCGATAGGGACACCTAAAGTTCTTTGAGTAACAGCCGCCGCATCGATCCTGCTTACTGCATTTTCACTCTGTTCCGATGGAGCTTGATCATCATCTGCATGTGAACTCACCATGGAACCTTGAGTACCACCCCTTGGTACAGTACCCCCTCTGGTAACCGTACCTCCTCTGGTAACCGTACCTCCCCTAGGTACAGCACCTCCCCTAGTAACGCTACCTCCCCTAGTAACGGTACCTCTAGGTGCTGTCCCTCCACGTGTTGCAGTGGGTCCTCCTCGTGCTGCAGCAGCAGACACAGCTCCTCCCCTAGAGGACACAGGGCCACCTCGACTAGGGAGGGTGCTACCCCGGATAGGTGCGGCTCCTCCACGCCCCGCGCCGCTCCCTGGGGGCAGGGTTGCGGCCCTCTTTAAATCTCCTCCCCCTCCTCCTCGCGAAGAGGCTGGAAGTGTAGACCCTCGAGTGGATGCTTGTCCTGACATTAGCTCGGCAATTAGGCTTTCGTTATACTGGTTTGCTATGAAACGAATAAATGAGTGTTCAAAGTGTGTTATGGCAATGTGTTTCACTCCTGTCTTGTCTGAAAAGCCGGAAATAATAGCGTCTGTGTTCACATAACTTGTTGTAAGCATGGTATGGTTAAGACTTGGATATCACATGCGTTAACGTGGTTAATTTGAGAAAGGACCTGTTGGCAAAACGCATTTTAGCCGCAAATTGAGTTTTTGAAATGGGAAAATTGGAAGTGCACATCAATTTCAGAAGATTTAGGTTCCCTCCAGTTTGACTGAACTGTGTTGTTATGATGCTCCTCCCAGTTCTCACACACGTGGACATGGAGTAAATTTATAAAACGACCATCCGAGAAGCCTAAGAAGACATGAAGCACCTCAAGTTTTTAGTCCCTAATTCGGATCACTACTTGATTTGATTGTCTGCTAGACAGCTGGCTGCGACCCTCCTGCCTAGTTTAATGATGTTCGTCTCCCGGTGGTTCAACTCGTATAAACTTTGGATTAAAAAACATTCCCACTGTTTGATCCTTAATTAAATTCGGGTTAGATCGTACTTAGGAGTCGACTGGGTACCCTGCCAAGCTCGGTTAGTCATTAGTGATAATGACTTAGAGATTTGGGACTACTGTTTATTAGACAGATAAGAGACTTGTATTGAAACGGTAAAACATAAAAGTAAAACAAAGAAATTAAAAAAACGCAAAGCATCATTAAATTATTTAAATTCTGACACAGCAAAGCAATATTATCATGCCAAAATACCTTTAATGCATTTCGGCTGTTCAGGCATCATACTATTTACAGTTAAAAATCAACATCGTCCTAGAAAGTTTCTAGTTTCATTGGACCTCTTTCTCCTCGAGTGTTCTGGGCCACCGGATATTCGCAACATAAATAATTAAATAACCTAAATATATTTACGCACAACTAACGCCGGAATGTTTTTACTTATTTTCAGCTGTAGAACTTGAATTGTTCGGTGTAGCAAGCCACTACTGCTGTATCCTTCATCGGTCGGCCAGCTGTGGTGTGTATACATCGTACCATTGCGGGGAACACCCCTGCAGCCCAGTATTGTAGTAGAGTTATACTATCTGAATCTACTGTCTCATATCGTGAGAATCAGTCCTAGTCGTCTTCCTCCTCTTTTTCTTCTTCAGGGGAAGTTTGTTTTTGCGGGAAGAGGTCCTCAAGTGCGGTCTTGGTTATGAGGGTTTCCTTCGCATCTAGATTTTTCAGCTCTCAGCTCTATTCTTTCGAATAAGTTAGTGTTCGTGAGGATTAGCACGAGGTATGTAATCTCCACTAGCTGTCTCCAAGAGTATCTAAAACTCTCATGAACTTCCTCCTCATCTTGGGCCTCTCGTGTCTGTCTAGCACTGAAAAAGTAAAGACACGTTAGTGGGGAACACTTTATATTTACAACTTATGGAAACCTTCATGGCGCAGTGCTGCATGTTTTTACGGGACGGCAATGAAAAAATCGTGCTGAAAACTTAAAATTTTCGCTTAGAACTTACAATTCCGCCTCAGAATTGAGTTTTTAAAACTATTGGCGTGACCTTTTGTCAAGTTTTCCCAAGGATTTGACATGATAGTTAAAAAGTGTACATAACACAATATATAGTAAATAAGTTGGTACTTACTTAATAATTCATTAGATTTATCTAAGACATCCTCCATTTTATTAATGTTATCGGCTAATCCCGATAGCTCGTTACTCATTGCTTCCATCTCATACGCAACGTCTCGTGGAAAATCTTCTGAAAATAGGGCTTTGTTAATGAATGTTCCACAAAGTTCTAGCTATTACACTTTTTTATTCTATATTTACATGTCGTAAATGTTACGATGTTATTATTGTAATGTCAAACGTGACAAATACTGATTAGTTTTCACGAAAAGTGTCCGATCAAAGGGCTAAGATGGAGCAAAATGAGCATATAATTTAGTTTATGTAATTTCTATGCCGGACAGGATGTTGAAGACAGCGAGTTCTCGTTTAATGACAGAACTTAGACCGGTTTATACGATCATGAGCCGTGCTTCATTTTTTCGCGGCATGATAAAACATCGTCATACTAAAGCCACTTTAGCTGTACACGTACGCATCGATTCCCAGTATGGGCAGTAACAAAATCGCACATACGACCATGACAGAGACGTTACTTGGCGGAGGGATGGGTTTATTGCATGTTTGTTTTACCACGTGACACCCAGGTGTGGTTTGCAGAGGTGTCACTAGGCAACAAACAAACAAAACGTGCATCACCTCCCCATCTGTTGCTCACAAATCCCACATCTAGCAGAAAAGTGCGGGAAAGTGTGCAGGGAACGCGGCAACTAGACAGCGTCTGAGTATATCTATAAGTGGGTGATACAAGTAAAGTATTTGGAAGTATAAACTTACCATGTGAGTCGGTGTCAGGAGATTCCGGGATTCTATCTGGTATCTCTAGTTTTCTGAAGGTGGTCACCCTTACGCTCTCGTCATCAAATATGTCTAAGTAGTTGGTGTCACTCATTATCACACAGGATATGGATTTCTGGAATTCTCCGCATAACTCCCAAGCTCCTTCCAATACCTGGAAATAGTTTGTTGGTGAGTGCCGGGTTTATCATTATCTGTAAAACTCAATTGCTCAATAGTATTATAGTATTAGTATGGTATGGCTATGCAATTAACGAAATTCTTGGGGCCTGTAAATACTTTTGTAAATATTTGCATTTTGTACGCTTGAAGCCTTACAATTGCATGAACGGGCCAGTTGATGTTGTCCAAAATTTAATGAGTCAGAATTGGTTAATTTCATTGGCAATGAAATGGTCCACCGCCCTAATTATGTGCATTGTGCAAACGCTTTTAAAATATCCAGAAGTTTCCTACGTCAGCACTGAAGTTTAAACAACACGTGATGCAACACAACTAATGTTCAAACATTTTTCAGGCTCCTGCGTCACTTTCAACTTATGTTAAAGTTCCAGGAACTGGAGGTTCCGTTATATTTTTAGGCCCTTTCTTCTATATAAAGTTTGTCAGGTGTCAGGTTGTCAAGGCAATATATTTTTAATTTTTGTCAGTTGAAGGGTTAAACTCTTCCTGATTTAAAAGTTATCGTAACACGTGGAGGGGGATTTGTTTTATCGTAACACGGGTTGCTGAACATTGAGCAATGAAACTGGCGCCACAAATTTAATCTCACATGAGCAATATTTACTATTATTAATTATTATACTTGCTAAAATAGTGGAAGTATCCGTCAATTCACGTCAGAAAGTTGTTAATATTGCTGCCGTAATTTTCGCACGTAAGGTTAATAAAACTTAGTGACTATGTTAATACAAATGTTATTGTTAGTGGTACAATTCAACTTACTTCGATATAATTAGAATGGGAGACTATTAGGTATTCGGGAGCGTTGAATGATTTTCGCCCGTTGGTAAAAGTAAGACATCTTGCGTCTCTGCAGATCTTCAGTCTAGGTCCTGAAAGATAAACCGGGTCAGATGAGCTGTTGTAAACGCAATTCGGCTTAATCTTAATCTTACTTTCTGATGACAAAGCGCAATTACGATCAGTATAGCCGACTACTGCGGTGTTCCGATCTAACTGATGAAATGTTAAAATGAAGCGTCTTCTGGTCTCTACTCTTGAGCAGATCTCTTAATTACGAAAGCTTTAAAAGATACCAATAATCATTCTTTAAATATTTCCCAATTTTACTTTTTAAAGTTATCAACTCCACGTCAACATTACAATTATTCAGTAAAGTGTATCGTAGTAGTACTCCAGATATATCAAGATAAGAGATTGAGAACTAGACTTACGTGGAGGGGGGAAGTCGAAAGTAAGGGCTGCTGGGGATCTGTGGTCATCTAACATGGCTCGCTCGGCCCTGTTGTCCCTGGGCCTCTTGTTCTTCTTGCATCGGCACCTCTTTTGTTTCTTTTGTTCTGATGATGATGAGGCATCAGCTCCTGAGTTCCTCTTTCTATTCCTTCCTCGACCTCTGTTTTTCTTTGAGCTCTGTGGGTGGTAATGCGGTTAGAACAAGCTTTTGTCACCCTCCCACAAGTAGCAGCTACTCAACTCATGAGAGTCCAAAGTTTGCCGGGTTTAAAATGTTAAGTTGTTCTGAGGTTGGAAATGATATCATGTCTCAGGCTGCAGGTAGCTTTCTCCCGCTCTAAAGTTATTACTGTGCTGTGGTTTTGCAGACAACTGTCAGGATCGCAAATGAGTTTTACATATCACCTTACAGCATCATCAGCTGAATTATTACAACTAGGATCTGGTCTAAGAATAGCTTTTGATAGATTGGTGATAACGGTAGGTGACTTCACAACCATTCATGGACTCGAAACAAGTTTGATAGATTCGTATGTGAGACACAGCATGACCGGTGATTTCACGGTGAATGGCTAGACACTCTGGATGATTTAACTTACCGAGCATTCGGTGTCCCTGGAGAATCTCTTGTTGCAGTTCAGGTCTCTGAGGTTGGTGGTAAGTTGGTTGTTCCACTCGTTCTGTGTTTTTGGTATAGGGATCTGGGCACACACCGTACAGTAATGGTTAAACTGGGAGGTCATGTACAGTATGACGATTCTGAAAGAGAGATTCAAGTTATACGTACAGTTTCTATGAATAGAGTTTCGATATTATAATTAGTATCAAGGCCTCATCATGCCCACTTATCGTATATCTCTAATATCACGTCCTGTCTATTTCTGGCAAAAATGTTGCCTAATGTAAAGCCTCCGACTGACTCGGGTGAACGTCTAAGTCTTCACTTCATAGTTTCACAGACTTGTTGGTTTTATATTTTCATATCATTTGTCGGTTATATTGGTGCTAGAAAACCTTCAACATACGGAAAGGCATACTAATATAATAGAGGGTTGAAAACCTCCAAGATACGGAAAATCAGTTTAGCTTACCCTTTCAGCAGTCTGATGAGCTTGTTGTATAAGAAGTCAGTAGTGTTCATTGTTTATAAGTCCTATGTGATGTGTTCATTTCAGTCCTATGAGATTAAAACATTGAGATTTCCATTTTTAAACCAAAAAGACGACGTTAATAGATTTCTTAAATAATACAAACTATAAATGTCAACAAACACCATCAGAAATATAGCTATGGTAATAAAATCACTTAAATTTGCACAATCGCACATGCAGCAGGATGGATTGGGAGCATTGTGTGCAAATACATTAGTGATTGTTATGATGGTAGGTACCCTCTTATTCGAGGCTATATCTGAACAACTAAGATAGCAATGATTGCCCAACAAACAAACAGTTTTGTTCTATTTTTATCTCTATCACAAAGAGCACGTGTCCCCAGCACTCAGTGGGTATGGTAAAATACCCGAATGTTTACCTCCACAGCTGTACAGCTCGGTAAAACGTGCTTAGCGATCCGAATAAGTTTGCCGTTTTGTTTTAACTTGGAGAACACTCAACTAACACTACAGCACACCGTACTTTACCGACACAGAGCTTTAAAAGTGATAAAGAGGACCGCCAACAGCGGTGTTTAGATGCGAATATTTAGCCAGGATCTATCTAAACAATCATCTTGGCAGGTATACCCCCGCCAAGTGGCGATCCACCATGCTCGATGGTTACAAAACCGACTTAATATTTAAAGGCTTCCCCGCTACTAAGCAAAAACATTGAAGTATTTCGATATTTTGTGATCATTAAAGCTTGATATATGTATATATATGCCTGCAATAGCAACCATCTAACCATGTAATAAGCAGAAGTTAAGCTGATAATGAATACTCATAATATTACAAAATAGTTGATCTAACGAAGGTGTGGGGTGAGCAGCAAGGTTTGTAAATTACATTGTACTGAAGTGGTAAATGAGTTTGTAATTGGGTTGCAGGTACCCGCGGTGGGTGCCCGGCCAGTGTAGCCTAGTTTCCAAGGTAGCTAATTAGAATTAGTCAGATGCAGTTGGATGGGACTGGGTCTAAGTAAATGAGGAGAACAAGTTAAACTACGTATTTCTTTCCGTGTTAGGCTTCATATGTGGTTTACAGGTAGGTAGAACATCAGTTCTACTGTACTGACAACTCAGGTGGACTGTTCTAGAATGTGCTGGGTTTTGAAGCAGGTTGGTTATCACGAGGGAGAGCTGGCAGTTCCGAGGAGATATGAAACAAATCAGTTGGACCGGCCGAACAGAAATGAATTGGATTAGAGCACCAAGAAGAGTTCGAATATTTTCCGAATGAGTCATTTATAGGTGAGTCATCGGTGCCAGAAATTTGTGTCAAGTAAGTCCTTGTCCAGATAATCATTGTTAACAAACAAAAAGGGTCATTATTAATCAGATTAGGCCGGCCATTCTTCAACATTTAGCATCTTAGACCCCACCTTTGATTTAAGAGGCTCCGGTTAAAACCAGCTCGTCTCTGGATATATTATGCGCTGTATTTTGCATCTTATTACCGCCTTAATTATTGTATTAAACGTGTTATAAGTGTGCAAGCCTACCACTCTGAAGATACATTGAATCAGGATATACAGAAGACAGGAAAACGAGGTCAGAGAAAGCGAGCAAATACAAAATAATAACAAGCGGGAATTATTAGCACTGTAACAGAACGAGAAGGTTCATTAATGGAATTTGAGTAGAGGATGCTAATTTATATAGGGATCTAGTTAAAACCCTAGACGTGCACCAGCTCGAGTGGGATTGATGACGATATGGCACAAGTGGGAGGTATGGGCTCTAGGTCACGAGGTATAGGATATAGGTCACGTTATCACCTTCCCTTACACACGCGCTGAACTGCTCACCTCCCAATTAACAATCATTGCCTCGTCAAATATGTGAACTCTTAGGAAATACAGTTATGCAGCGTTAGAGACTGGGTTAATTCGGGCCGTGCTAGGAAAGAGGTGAAACAAAACAGATAAGTTCAATACGAAATATGCTTTGTAACCGATGGTAGCGAGTGAGTGACATCAGTGCCACATGTTCTCAATCCATCTGACGTGGCTCTCAATCTCTGCACAGTGTTGCTCCATCCCCGCCCTCCTCCTCCTCCTCCTGCATGCTTCCTACCTATTTAACAATTAACTGTGCTCCCCCTCTTCACGTGTGAACACATGAAGTTAGTAGACACGAGACAGCAGGCCAGTCTGACTCCAGGCCAGTGTCTCGAGGAGTACAGAACAATGAGCGGTAGATTGTTCTAGACCACCACTTTTCACTGATTAAGTCAGCAGTAAATGAGAGTCAGTAGGACTTCTGTCCTACTCAGTTTGATCAGATAATATGCGAGATGTTTCATCCCGCACCAAGCAGTTCAATGATGTGACATATCAGACAGACATCACAACTCCCGATGTCATTACATTGTGTCATACCATGAGGTGTGTGGGATTCAAGCCATACTGGTATTAAATAATAAATATCAGTGCTTGCAGATCTGCCATTATGCAGCCGGAACTCAACTGTTGCAAGTTAATGGAGCATCAGGGAGATAATAGCTCAAATTAGGGTCCAGTTAACATATCAAGTTGCTGGTTTCAGACACCAAACTAAAGCTTAAAAGTGACTAAACAACTACTCTTTATCCCTCTGTTAATTTGAACTCTATAATCTGTAGATTAAGGACCTGAACGCGTGAGCCCATCAGATCTCCAACCCCCAGAAAATTACCGTGCGAACTGGCAAACCTACTATAATTTGATTCCTAAAAAACAAAATCTAGAACATCTAATACGCCCTACAATTACTGAATTTGGTTGCATTACCCCATAAGATTGGGTGGCGGACTGATAAAGGCTGGCCAGGGACAGGCAGCTCAGGTGGCAGATAGCTAGCAGGAACCCGCCCTCACAGCCTCCAGAACATGAGTACAAACCAGAGAGAGAGGGAGAGAGCTGAGAGCCAGTGCAGAGAGATGGCTATCTTGTGCCGCTCTCACACTAGGGTCCAATAACATATTATTCATTTCCGTTTACAGGAACAATTGGGCACTGCTGTCTGCAACTTTTATGTACAGTGTGGTACGTTGGATAAATTGAGTTCGAGAACATTCGATTACTAGGACACAAAGGTTCTGCCACATGTTCTTTCAATTGATATTAATACGATATTATGATACTAGGAAAATACTGCATAATTATGTTGCGGTATGAATTAAAAGATAATCTTCAATGAAGGATAAAATACAAACACAACGATCCGAACTTGAGAACTAAAAATTGGCAAACACGCACAGATGATTCGCCTAAGAACTAAAAACGTGAGTCTATCTTTAAACAAGTTTAAACAATTTGTAAAAGCTGCGACAAAGACTGTAATCGCGTATTTAAATCAAGAAGAGCTCACGAAAACTTCTGCATGAAAATCAAGAGGCAGTTAAAAACCTTGAGTTAGCATGAGATGACCTCAGATAGATATTAACAGGACACAGGACACTGGAGACACTCACACAGCCGCACTAGAACAGCTCTACAGCTGTGGTGATTATCGTCTTAACTCTTAGAGCCTTACTTTCAGCTTCATTACGAGATTTAACGACCTGCACTTATCCGGCTATTATCTGGTTAAATCTTCGTTATAGCAGATGTTAGTTTGTTACTATTATTAGATCCATACCTACTTATGTTATGTTCTATTTTGTGTTTAGATGCTGATCATTATTTGAATTATCTAATTAACGTGAAATTATTCGGCCGAAAATAGCAGCAGTGATTCGGTTAGGTTGGAGCGGCAAACATACAACACTGAGAATTAAAACATGGTGAGATTGACTGATGACTCATAATACGAAGATAAAGACGAATAACCGATGACTAACCAATAGGATCAACATACGAGAAATAAAATCAAGATTCAATATCGGGAACCGAATGAATGAATGACTTTCTGACTTGGTCTGGTAGACATCGGAACTGTTCAGACGGGAGTTTGACAAATAGTCCGACCCGCAATTCCAAGTAGATATCGTAGAAAGTTTTCGTAAAGCAATTAACTGAAAGAATGAACGTTGGATTTTAACCGAAAAGATCTCTCCAAATTCATGTCTGACTCTGATCGATCGGGGCAACACAAAATATAACCTTTAAGCGTTGAGTGCTAAGGAAAACAATTACGTTACAGACGTATCACTATAATATACGAAATGAGTATTACTATATTTTTTAGCGATACGAGAGAGCTGCAGTTGAGTAACGGAACAAGTTTTTTGAGCAAGCTAAAGGCGCTTCTCATCAGGGGTCTAGACCGGACAAGACAGCTAATCAGTAGACAAAGCAACGCGTGATATGAGATTGAGGTACAGTGCCAGTTTATTCGGGTATGATCTAACGAAATCACATTTGCACCCGGGTACCCTCACTTCTCTCTCGATCAGCTATGACAGAGTTTTAGTGGCTCATGACCATTATCAGGAGCCTGGGAGAGTTGTGACTTTTGTATTTAGCGGTTCTCACTTTTCATGACTTAAGCGGGAAGATGGAGTAATGATAACGGTTTCTTGTATATTCATGGTCGGCTGAAGTTAAGGATATGATTGAACAAACGAAAGTAAACAAGGCCAAGGCTTCTTATCATTAGAGCATTCAATGAAAAGATATACAAATTTTATTCCGTTATTTGGAGCCTGTATCCGTCTTTGATCTGTAGTTATCGCAGTTAACGGAACCACTACACTGATAAGCCTGGGATACCCTCACGGCTTGACACGGTGTTTTGATACTATCTCTACAACTAACTAACTCGCGTGGACCTCCATCTTTATGAACGTGTGTCGGGACTCCCGCACAAAGCGGATATCGTATAAACTTGTTTGGTAATACCTATCTGCAAGGGGTATCACAAAAACTTTCCCATTGCCTCCACGTGCTGCGATCATGACACATGATAACATTTCATATTAAATCACAGTGATGTTGATCAATAAAAGATGAATTACATTGGTGGGATTAAGAACGTATAGTTCCTGAAGCTGAGCTCTAATCGATGATCCAATATTTCCTATTTAATTTTCATTTAAC